CTACATTTTGGACACAATGGTTTCCCCTCTTTCCAATACAGTTTAGAGGGGATGAAACGATTTATAAATCTGCTATGCATCAAGAGCAACCGCAGTATTCCTCCTTCTCTCGACGTGTTCAATCATGTCCATACCGACGTTTGTGGACCTGCAAGGCTTCGTTGTCAGCGGTAACTTTATTGTGAAGGAATTTGCCGCTCTCCGAGAGGGACGCGTTCTCTCTCACTACATTTTCATATGTCCCGTACCATGGAGGTTTCTCACCAAAGCGGAGCAACATCAGGCATCCTGGCTGATTGCAAATCGTCATGGAGTACGATGGGAAGACGGAATGATTCCATACAGCAGGGCTAGAAGTCTGATTACAACGGCTGTGGTCGGCATGGAAGATGCTGACGATCTTGAGACACCGTTTCTCGTCTACGTCAAGGGACACGAAAAACGAGAATGGCTGAAGGATATGCTCTCGGATGACGCGAGAGGAGATGTCTATATTGAAACTATTGATGTAGACTACGAGGACATACCATCTCTAAATAAATTGGATGTTACACATACTTTTCACTGCCAGAAACATGTAACAAATTGCGATTTACAAAATGTTTTTAAACTTTACAATTGGTGGTCTAACCATAAAAATATGTAACAACATGTGTTAAGGGTAAATATTTACCCTTACATAGCACCCGCCAATCAACTTCCGTTTGACCTTGATGTTGACCTTGACCCCCAAGGAGGTCAAGGTCATTGCCCATTCCCGTCGCTCATTGTTTGTTAAAAAGTTATGAAGAAAATAAGTTTGGTTTATGTGTAAGTTGCAAGTGCGTTTAGCGTGTAACGGTGGGAGTACAAATACATAAATACCTAAACAAGTATGTCAAAATATATTTATGATGCAATGTCAAGTACATTTTCGTTTAATGGATATATCTGAGACATAATATCAAAGAATGTATCCAAACGAACAGGAAAGTCATACATCCTTTTAAATAAGAATTCTGCTAAATAATGTTCGTAATGCTTTTCAGATATCCCATACTTTGGAATTGCTGCTCGCATATCACGCCACATCTTATTCACCTCACAGTATACGATATACTGAGTACGGTTTCTGATATTATAAGGACATTATCATGTATGTATACAAACTGCTTCTTCTACAAATTGAACTATTCGCGCGAGGCAAATTCCGAGGGTTAACTGTTCTGTAGAGCAGATAATTTTCCATCATTTGTAAGTCCATACGCACACAAGAATATTGTGCTTTACAGAAATACGCAAACCCGATACAAACTTATTTTCTTCATAACTCTTTAACAAACAATGAGCGACGGGAATGGGCAATGACCTTGACCTCCTTGGGGGTCAAGGTCAACATCAAGGTCAAACGGAAGTTGATTGGCGGGTGCTATGTAAGGGTAAATATTTACCCTCATTTTATTATCTCAATTTATCAAAATACATCACCCCGTTTATGGGCTTCGGCAAGAATTTCTTTTACGGCATAAGCCATTAATTCGCACTTTATGATCGAAATAAATTCACAATTTTCGGTTGAATTTTTATAGTACTTGTATAGGATTCTAACTGCATCGTTCGATGTATCGCATTTTTTTCGCCACTCATCCACATATCTTGTACATGCACAACGAGTTCGTCGAAGCTTTCATGTACAGTTTCTAGATCCGCATACAGTTGAAAATATATGCAGTCTACACAGTGTTCCAGTTCAAATAAAAATGATATGGTTGATGGTTTCATGTACATAGAAGTATTATTTGATGTTACTTTTACAATATTTCCGTGGCGCGTTCTAACTAGTTCTATAGCTAAATGTGTAACGTGCCGTAAACAACGGGCCTTCCCCACCGCGCACATGTTTTCCGGCACCGCTCCATCTCGCACCTACAACCGACTTGTATAAAAGACGGCGAAAAAGCCACCGAGACACCAGTTCCCGACCGGCGAGTTGAGCAGGTCTACCTACGGCGACGACGAGATGAGTCCGAGCCGCTTCCTAACCTCGCGTGCTGAGCGAGATACCGAGCACCTTCCGATCACGACGCGTATTGAGCGTCATCCCGAGAACCGCGAAGTGAGCGGGAGATCCTCTCCGAACCGTGCCACGATCTGAGTGGCAATCCAATCCGAGGGCTAAAGCGAGCTGAGCGAAGCCCGAAATCCTCGCCACGTGATGAGTGGCTTGTATATACAACACCCAACCTAAACCGCGAACACGAGCTGTCATCGGCGAGAAGACAGCACACCGCGTCGGCGCCGCACGCACCGAGCCGACGCCACGCGCACCGCGCCTGCGCCGCCCGCATCGTGCCGCCGTACCGCGACGGCTCCGAACGAACCGGACCGCGCGAGAACATACCGTACCGATTACCGAAAGATATTACCGCACCGCCGACCGTATCAATTAATCCGGCGAACCGTCCCGCGTCACCGCGAAACAATAATTATCCGAAGCTCTAATGCGCCAGATCACACAGTCGAACCGCCGTCAGAACGGCTATAGTTGTAAGAATAGTTATAAGTAGATACATGTAGGCTAAGCTGTAAATATATTCTAGTATTTAAGTTAGAACCTGACTCTCTCTCTTTTCGAAACACCCACCGCCGGACCCTAGAATTCCCGCGGCTATCCGTTGCCCAAACGCACAGATTCAAACGGTCACAAATGATTAAGCTGTATCGCTGACGATGATGATGCATCTGTTGCCTTTAGCAGCTGGTCTATTTTTGATTGATTATTTCTGTATTCTTTCCAAATTGATTGATCTAACTCCATCTGATGTCCTTGATTATCGCCATGAATTATTTCTACGTAGGATGCACGAGGTACTACTCTGATCCAAATATCTATGTACGAGTATTTGAATGCTGTAGATGTCAGTGGTAACCTCCTGCACATGATACGCGGTAGGTTATGAGATTCATCATCAGAACTGAAAGAATGTATAAAGTAAAATAAATACAATTATGCCCTATCTCGTCCGGATGGAAATTGTAGTTGTGTCCTTGTGCGCGCTATCACCAACTGTTCAAAAAACCCGCCAAACTAAAAAAGGTGCAGGCGGTGCAGGCGCTGCGCGCCCAAGCAGGCCGCCACGCGGGCTGCCAACTTCATTGTGTTTTTGTTGCGCAGCATCAACAGTTCAAGTTTTTTCAATTACATCAGCAATTGCTTCAAAGTGAAGTTTCAAGTTCAAGATGCCCAGGGATAAGTACCCAGGTCACTGTAAAAATCGCTCGGGCCATCACTCTCATAAAAGGAAGCATAGAGGAAAGGAGAGGTCTCAGGACCGCTATAAGGAGGTTAGATCTCGACATTCCTCGCGAGACTCATCATCGACACCTCGGGCGTGGCAGGAAACCTCAGGGTGCCGTTCTCCTTCTCAGACATCATCCCAGCTAATACTGGCCACGGCTCTAAAAGACTTTCTCGCTTTTATGAAGCAACATACCTCCCAGAGTGCAGGGAGTGTAAGGGCGGAAAATCCCCCCAGTCCCACGGCGGACTCTCTTCCCCTCCAGGAGAATACAGACACCATTGTCTCTCCACAGGTTGAGACCGAAATAGATGAGCAGACGGTTCTCCAGAACCGGGGTGTTGCACCAGGTATATTTCCTCGTTACTGCGAAGAGGAAATATAGCCGATTGCTTCATCTATTTTTTCGGTTTTTTCTTTGCTTATAGAACAGCCAGAGGAGCCGGCAGCAGGATGTACAGTGTCGTTTAGGGATCCCAAGGTAACCCAGATAAGTGCGGAGGAAGAAGAAAACTCTCTGGTAGCCGAGCTGTTTGGCGAGGAACAATGCCCGTCAAGCGATGCGACTTGGGATCCTGTAATCTTTAACTCTACAAAATCCGGGCTACGTATGGGTTTAAAAGAGGAACTTCGCAACTCTTTACTTTCAAAGTACGAGCTCAAAGGAGACCTTACGTGTTTAGGACCTCCTAAGGTTAACAAAGAACTGACGTCAGCTCTGTCCAAACGGCAGGCCATTTTAAAAAGGGACGAATACCAGGCAAAGAGGCAGACCCAAGTAGGAGCCTGTCTGAACGCACTAGGTTCGGCCATAACCGACCTGGTGAAGTTTCGCCAGTCCTTTCTTCAGGATAATAACTTGAAGAACATTACTGTCAAGCTTGCAGAAGGACTTCATCTTTTGTCCGATCTCCAATTCCGCTTGTCCCTTGCCAGGCAGGCATATATAAAACCGTGCCTGACGTTTGTAGGAAAATCGACAGCGGATTCCTGTAAGGTCGACGACTGGCTTTTCGGGTCAGGTTTCGCAGAGGATCTTAAAGCAGCACAAGCCTGTGAGAAGGTAGGATGAGATATATCCAGATCTGCCTCTACCCCGACAGCGCTAAAAATCAGCAATCAGCCATCTCGTCAACAAAACGTGCCAAAGCAACCGAAAGCGTCAAACTTCAAAGCTCCTGCCCAACGCACTTCATCCACGGCTCGCCGGACAGGAGCGACGCAATCAAAGAGCCGCATCAAGCCTACTCCAGATCCAGGTCTCGGACACGCCGTTAGAACAAGTAAGGACAGCGGGGCGGTTAGCTTGTTTTTTCCGTAGGTGGAAAGAATTAACAACACATCCAGAAGTCCTCCAGGCTATCAGGGGTTACCATATACCTTTTGTTTCCGCCCCTCCTTCTCGTGTGCACATGCGGGAACCTTCTTTTTCCCCGTAGGTTGCAAAGGCGTGTGATGAGGAGATTTTACGCTTACTAAATAAGGGAGCTATAATAGCTACGGCTCTTTCCGAGAACCAGTTCTTATCCAGTTTTTTCTTGGTTCCGAAACCCTCAGGAGGTATGCGTTTCATATTGAACCTCAAAGACCTTAACCTTTATCTCAGTCCACAGCATTTTCAATTGGAGAACTGGCGAACGGTAGTCCAACTCATGATTTCAGGATCCTGGATGGTGACTCTAGATCTGGAAGACGCCTATCTTTTACTGCCTATAGCACAGGAATATCGTCATTTCCTTCGGTTTCAGTGGAAAGAGATTGTCTACGAGTTTACAGTTCTACCCTTTGGTTTGTCCACGGCACCCTACATATTCACCAAAATTCTACGCCCAGTAGTTGCTCATCTGAAAGCAGAAGAGTACTGCTCCGTTATCTATCTAGATGATCTCCTCCTTTTTGGTCTCTCAGAACAGAATTGTTTACGCAATCTAAGAGCTTCTATGGACTTGCTAGCGTCGCTCGGATTTCTCCTGAACTACGAGAAATCTCAACTAATTCCAGCACAAAGGTGTAAATATCTGGGTTTTATCTTCGACTCAGTGCAACAGTCTGTTGCGATCCCACAGAAGCGGCGCAGGAATCTACTCAGATTAATGTTGAGTATCTCGAATAAACGCAAATGCCAAATCCGAAGCTTCGCACGCATGATTGGATCTCTGATTTCAGTCTGTCCCGCAGTTCAATATGGCCTTTTATATACCAAGGCCTTGGAAAGAACAAAATTACGAGCTTTGGCACACTCCAAAGATAGTTATTCGGCCACTATGGACATTCCGTCCTACCTCGCTGAGGATTTTCAGTGGTGGATTAGGGTTTTTTCAAACCCAAAACAAGCTAATTTCATCCGTTCCAGGGTGGCAGCTCGTGAAATTTTCTCGGACGCTTCTCTATCGGGGTGGGGAGTTCCTGTGGGGAACTCCGCACCCATGGATGGTGGTCCGCAGAAGAGAAAACTAGCCATATAAATTTGTTAGAGCTTAGGGCCGCCTTCTACGCTCTTGAATGCTTTGCACCAGACTTGCGGGACTGCGATGTTCTTCTCAGAATAGATAATACAACGGCTATTGCCTGTATTAATCGCTTTGGTTCCGTCCAATATCCTCATTTATTTGCTATAGCCAGACAGATCTGGACCTGGTGCGAAAACCGCAACCTTATGGTTTTCGCGTCTTACATCGCTTCTATCGAAAATACGATCGCAGATCAGGAATCCAGAGTTATCAGCGCGGATACAGAATGATCTCTATCAGAGGATGCTTTTCATCGTTTGTCACTAGAATTTGGTCCTTTTGACCTTGACCTTTTCGCTTCAATCATCAATGCAAAATGCACGGCCTACGTATCTTGGTTCCCAGATCCGGACGCCATAGCAATCGACGCTTTTACACTTTCGTGGGCTGACACAAAGTTCTTCGCTTTTCCCCCTTTCATCCTTTTACCTCGAGTTCTCAGGAAGATTTTAAATGACCAAGCGCAAGGAGTCGTGGTGGTACCATGGTGGCCATCACAGTCCTGGTTCGCACTATTCCACCGCCTTCTGGTTGGAAAACCTGTGATTTTTGAACCAGCCTACAATCTCCTCTCTTCTCCTTTCAGAGATTGTCACTCTGCTTGGAGGACCCTTTCCCTGGCGGCAGGACTCTTATCAGGCAGGCCTTTACTAACCGCGGAGTACCTCCAGGAGCAATAGAGGCTACACTGGCTTCCTTGTCAGAGGCAACAATGAAGCAATACTCTAAACCCCTGAGAGACTGGTGGTTTTTCTGCCAGAGGTCAACTGTCTCTCTCTGGTCACCAGACCCTACACAATTCCTTAATTTTCTATTGTAAGAACTTAAGCAGACAAGGTCATATTCTGTTATCAACACCATGCGATCGGCGATTTCGTTAATTTCGGACAATGAGATCGGAAACCACACACTAATTAGGCGTTTTTGTAAGGGAGTGGGGGTTCTTAAACCCCTCGGCCGAAATATGATAACGTATGGGATCCGGCCCCTGTGTTAGCTAAGCTGGCTTCATTTTATCCACACGATACTTTACCGCTTAAGGTACTTTCGAAAAAATTGGTCCTCCTCCTCGCCCTCGGCACGGGTCAGCGAGTGCAAACACTCGCATCGTTCAGGATTTCGCAAATTTCATTTAATGATAAGCTCATTATCCGCATCCCGGATAGACTCAAAACGTCCGCTCCTGGACGTTCTTAACCGTTGTTTTGTTTTTCCCCATTTGCGGGAAATAAAAATCTCTGTATTTTTAGTTTAATGAAGACCTATATAGAAGTTACCAAAGACCTTCGTTCATCTTCCGGCGATAAATTATTCGTCTCTTGCACGAAGCCTTATAGGGCAGTAGGCCCACAGACCATTAGCCGTTGGATACGATCAGGTCTGAAGGAATGTGGAGTGAGGACCGATTTGTTTACAGCGCATAGTACAAGGCACGCCTCTACCTCGTCAGCGGCTCAGAAAAGTGTCTCTTTAGACTTAATTAAGCGCGCAGCCGGATGGTCGGGTCAATCGCGCGTCTTTGCAAAATTTTACAATCGCCCCATAATAAATCCAGAGGATTTCTCCGATAGTGTTCTAAGACCGTGAACAGGTTCTCTCCTAGGTTTAGCTTCGATTAAGCTTGCGTGCGCAGGTCTTAGGTTTTGGACAACATACGAATGTCAACCTCAGACTTAGCTATAATACATTTATTCCTGCTTATAGGTTTTTCTTTTCTCGTCATAGGACACCTACCGCTAATCGCGCTAATATTTTTTAGTTGACATTATATTTATGTACTCGTGTATCATTAATTTTGGCGATTTCACAACTGTTTTTTCCTTTTTTAATCATCCCCTGCAGTCAGGGATGATCTTAGTAAAGGTTCATACGATAATTAATCTGTCAGTGAAATTCTTTCCCATACCAGATACACAAATCGCCATCTAAACATGTACAATTTCCATCCGGACGAGATAGGGCATAATTAATAAATCAAACGAACTCACCGAGTCAAGTTCGATTTGAATTATGCCTGATATCTCGTCCGGATGGACTCCCTTCCCACGGTTAAAAACCGTCTCCCGCCCTAGGAATGGGTAGGCGATTTGCGGAGTTCTAAAAGAATGAAGTTGGCAGCCCGCGTGGCGGCCTGCTTGGGCGCGCAGCGCCTGCACCGCCTGCACCTTTTTTAGTTTGGCGGGTTTTTTGAACAGTTGATGATAGCGCGTACAAGGACACGACTACAATTTCCATCCGGACGAGATATCAGGCATAATTCAAATCGAACTTCACTCGGTGAGTTCGTTTGATTTATTAATTATATGTGTAAAAAATGTGTGCAAATATGCAGTAGCTTTATGGTACTCACACGTCACCACACTGTTTCTTGCACGATACAGTTTCATCTTGAGGAACGGATGGCGTATAACTGCTTCGATGAACATACGGTGTGTAACGACGATTGTTAAAACTGTTTGAAAAATACAATTAAATGTGGAAAATGGTAAAGGAAAATACACGATAACTTTGTAGTACTTACACGCTACGCTGTTTCTTGTTGGATGACATTTGAAGACATTGCTGCAAGAAAGAGGCAAGTCCACATTTTGGCGAAAATGATGTTTTAACATCATTATATGCAACGTTCCAAGCCCGATCGATTGGTGTAAAAACGACGTACGTAAGTGCATTGTTAGTTAAATAAACTGAGATTTTTGGACTTGCCCCCCTAAGCAGATTGGTGCAAGAACGAGGTAAGTCCGCACTTGCCTCGTT